CACTTAATGTTTTTCTCTTTTCAGCAAAGGCAAGGAAGGTTTGGTTGACACTGAGATAGACGAGAGCTGGAATTCTGTATGACACCTGTTTTTCACAACAGCAACACCAGGTTTGGGGCTGTTCCTGTTTGAATATTGTTGTTTTGTTTATTTCTTTAAGACATCCTGAATTGTTTCTTGATGGTATCTTGTTACCCATTGTTAAAATGTAGCCCTGGAAATAGAATAAACAGTATCCGTAACAAGACAATAGACAAGTGATAGTATGCAATGCAACTATTTATTTTATTATTATTATTATTATTATTATTATTAATAATTTGCAGTCATCGCAATTCTGTTTTTTTTGCTTTGTCATTGTATAGGGTAAAGATTGTAGATTCATGTAAAAAGAAAAACTTTAAAAATGAATTAAATATTAATAAAAATGGCCCGTTAGAATTTTGAACAGTCTCCAAAGTCATAGCTGATAGATTTATTTAATTTTTTATTTTAAATCAGTCAATTTTAAATGACACTGAAATCACAAGAACACTGAACAGAGGTGCTTTATTATCATTTTTTCCCCCAATTAAAATTCAGTAAATGACATTAATTTTTTGTTTAGCATACCTCTGGAATCTTCATTGTTTTTGTTCTTAATAATAATTAAAAAAAATTATAAATGTTGTAAAATAATAATAGAATAAAATAAATTTTCTACCTCAAAATTGAGACTGCTACTTACACTGAGACTTACAACTTCTACTGTCACCTGATGGTAGGCCTATAATAAGGAACTGTACAATTTTACTGACCAATAAAAACATAAAAAAGGTAAATTTACAATCCAGCAGACCAAGTAACGTATAATGATTTTCTTTTTTTTTTGCAGTCACACTCTCCTTGCTGATCATGTGTGCAAAATCTAATGGTTACAAAAATGATCAAAGCCTTGCCAAAAAGCACAATACTGCTGAATAAAAAGAGTCACACCCTGGATGAGAAGCAGCATGCCTGCACAGGTAGGACAAAGTACAGGAATCACTTGAGACGTTGAAAACAAAACAATGAATATAATCACTGTACAGACATAAGTTACATAAGAATTTTTTGGCACTTCAATCTGCAACCTATGGACACCACTTTAGCCATTCTTGCTGTATGAAAATAAAAACTGGTGCATTAGTGTTAATGATTTGAGACAAATACATTTTAATTTACTGAAAAAAACAAAACAAAACTGTGAG